ATATATATATATATATATATATATATATATATATATGTAGACTTTTCTAAGTATAAGTGCGTACAATATGCGTATAAGACATTGATCTACGATATTCTACAAGTAAGTTTTACGATAAACTTTTTAAAAGTTATTATAAAATATAACAATTAACGCGCCTGTTGACGCGCGCGCTTATATATCTCTTATGTTACAAGTATATCGATTATCTCTTTATGTTTTTATCGTCATTTTACATTGTGATATCCTCATTGGATATATTTATTTTGTTCTTAAATAACGTAAAAATCGCACTATTGCATTACACGATATAAAATGAGAAACGATTTCTACACTATAAAAGTTGTTTAAGGTACAGGCCTCATTTTTAAGGATATTATGCTAATTCATGATCTAATACATATTCGGCTATTCGAAATCGAATATATTCTCTTTATATAATAGTTATTAAATATAGAAATATTTCCTCCGAAAAGATTGCACCTTTGTCTTGGTTATCTGCGAAATATTTCAAACAGATTTATTTGAATAAATCAATTATTAGGCTAGTGCAAAAGCTTCGTCGTTTTTATATTAAATTTTGATTTAAATAGACAAATTGATCTAAATTCTTTAAAAAGATATTTAAAAATGTCTTTCTAAATAGAGAATAATATCTATTGGAATTAATAAAAATAGCTTCGAGATTATGCAATTTCGTTTTCGAGTATATTTAATGAATATGACAAACCTTTCTTGCACCATCTTAATAATTTTAATAAGTTCTCTTGCATATAATATTATTTTTCAGCTTGTTAATCTAAGTCAACCTCATTTCTTTCGTATTGACTACTGACACAATCATCGTTCCATATCATTGACAAGCAAATTTTATAAAGATAGTATTGTATGTAACTGTCGCATTGAAAAATCGATATACATATTTTTTTTTTAAAGCTACGAAGCTTGGATTATAAATAACCAAATTAATACAGAGATTCGCCAATGGTTGCTAACAAAAATTGAGATACTACATATCACCGTTTTGTGCTTCTTACTATACTTTAAAAATTAACATATGTTAACATATACTTTAACTTGATAACAATATGATTATATTTTTTTATATCAAACATCTATCTCTTAGATATCGATATCATAATCTTTAAAATGTATTCAAGTCTTAATTTCGAAAAAAACTTTAATTTCAAATATTTAAAACAGATCAAAATTATAATATAATTTGTAAAGATTAAAGCTCTCTCTGTAAACAGACATAAAAACATTTAAATTATCGTAACATAAGTTATTAGATCGACTTTTATATTTTATTTGATTGATATTCAATTTATACTACAGTATTCTATATATGCCAATATATAGAAGATATCTTTTAATATCAGTAATTATATCTATACCCATGCATAGGTTTTTTTTAAATTGATTGAGATTCAAAAATGTAGTTTTTCATTCGTAATAATGTTTAAAAATGATTTATAATACTAAATATTATATCATGTAATCATTACAATTATTAAACTTCATCAATTATAACTATTAATAATTCAATAATTTTAATTTAGAATAAAAAAAGATATTAATTTACATATAAAAGTATAAAAATTAATTAATTTAAAATAACTGATGTAAAAATAACATTTTATTGCATGGGTAAGTTACATTCACTACTAATTTTTATATAAATGCAAATAAAATATTTAGCTCTGTACATCATAAACTACAAAGTTATATGTTAATACATAAGAATAAATTTAAATTTACCATTATATATTATTAAAAAGTAAATTATACCAATAAAATATAAAGTCATCTCAAAAAGAGGTGATAAAAATTAATAATAAATTTATAAAATATCTAAAATGTTTTATAAAATAACGTTATCCTAAATATAATATAAAATTAAAGCAATCAAAATGTCTACATTGTTATAACGTAGTTTAAGTAGCTTACATAGAGACACTCTCTACAAATAACATTCAAAGTAGGTATTTAAAATGGAATTATTTAGAAACTTATTAAACAAACGCGGCATTTCTAACATATTTAACATATTTAACAAATAAAGGTGTCTGCAGATCGTTTTTCACTTATCATTCTTATTTATCACTACGTATATACCGCGAATCAAAATCCTTTTGTGCTAGGACCATTTTGTAGGAATGTTATGGAAGCTTTCTGTATGTTTAATAATGTTATTAAATATTTTGGAGTAGCAGTATCCCGAAATGCAAATTTAGAATGCCAATGTCGATTCTATTCTAAAACGGAGAATGACATATTCGGGATATCGCCCGAAAGACAAAATTGTACTAGTTTTCACGTACTTTTACTGAGTCAGGCACGAATAAACCGTCGTAGAGTAGCTCGAGCATATCGAGCCCAGCCTTTGTGCAGTGACAAGGAAGTCGGTAATGCCTCGATGTTCAAAACAGGCGGACAGTTCTGTCATGTCTCGTGATTACTGTACGCCATCCAACGTGCGTCATCACTTTCGTGAGTTAAGTAGCGATAGCCAACTTTCTGCTCCAATTTTCTCAAGTCACACCACGTTTGATAATCCTTAGAAAAAGGAATTTCTTAATAATAATAATCACGCGATTAATAAAATAAAGATAATCGATTGAAGTATAAAAATAATGCTTACTTGTAACCACACATGTTGCAAGCTTCTATCTACGGTATATCTCTTCCTCTGCTTGACTTGCAAAAGGTTATTGATTAAATCAATAGCTAAAAGACAAAGAAATAATATGAAAGAAATGTATAGGATTTTTTATATACTCTTATATTACAAAAGTAATATTTTTTGCAGATAAATAATAGAAGTATTAATCACCATCGCTTGAAATTTCCTTCCACGGGGTAGGCGGATACATAAAGGCAGCATTCTGAATTTGTTCATTAATGTCCTCTTCTTCGTTAAAGGGGAACGTGCCGCTTAATGATACGTATATAATTACGCCAACGCTCCACATATCTAAGGAACGATTATAGCCTTTATTTCGTAAAACTTCCGGCGCTAGGTACGCCGGCGTACCGACGACACTTCTTCGAAAGCTCTTCTCGCCGATTATCCGCGCGAATCCGAAGTCGCACAATTTCACTTGGGTAAAGTCCGCGTCGCTGCTCAGTAATACGTTCTCCGGTTTCAGATCGCAGTGCACGATGTTCTTGCTGTGAAGATGTTTCAGTGCAACTAGAATTTGCGTCACGAGGAATTTAGTTATTCGTTCACTGAGTCGTCCTCTTTCAGAGCTTAAGATCATTTCCAGCATATCGCCCTTTAGTTTCTCCATCACTACGAATATTCGCTCTGTTGTTTCAAACATACGCTCCAAATTCACCACTCCGCTATGCGACAGATTTTGCAAAATCGCTACTTCGTTTTTCAGTTGGGCTTCCTGTTTGGTGGGAAAACGTAATTTATCGATGACTTTTATGGCTACCGCGCGGCCGCTCTTGCGATGAACACCACCATAAACTATGCCGAATTGTCCAGATCCTAAAACTTCATCTGGGAAGATCTGATATAGTTGTGACATATCGGTAACATTTTCCTCGGGTTCAGTAATTTCAGCAGGTTCTTCTTGATCTATAACATACAAACGCGCATTCATTTCAATAATTCATTTCAACATACACACATACACACATATACAAAAATGTCTCCTATATTATCTATCTTCAAAAAACAAAAGTAATAATTTGAATACGAAATACTATTGTAAATAATGGAAAAAATATAAAAAACAAAATAAAAATATAAAAAATACAAACTAATAAAAGGCATAAAATAATATTTCGTGTTATTATTTTGCACAGTGTCACGATAGCAAACTAAATATACATACTAGTCGACACAGTTACAGGCATAAGTGCTTGTCTAATAGTAGTTTCCCACGATCTAGCTATGTGAGCTCCGATACCACTTTCGGGAGGAGAGACTTGGCCGCAATTATCTCCGTATGATGGATCCTCCCCGACATAGTAATCGGCATTGGCAGTTTTTAGCTCAAAGCAATGCATTATATCTATAATACAAAGTACGCAAAGTGTGTAAAAAAGTTCAACTCAGGAAAGCTTGTTGGATCTGACAGACAAAATCTTTAAAAAAAGGGGAAAAAAAGAAAAAATGCACTCAAAATTGATAATAAACTAAGATTAGAAATAATTTCTAATTCGTTTACAAGAACATACATGAACGAGGTGTTTTAGCAGTTTCAATTGCTGAAATTTCAGCCAATGGTATCTCCTTGTAATATTTAGAACCATTCTCGCTTTGGAATAGTGTTATAGATTTTGTATCAAGCCGCCAATAATGTTTTTTTTTCTGAAAAAATTAGTGAATAATTTTATTTAAGTCTATATATTCACAATAATTAATAATTTAAATAATAAATAGAAAATATTAAAATAATTATATAATTTCCAATGTTTCTTTGAATACTTACAACGGGATCGCGATTTGTGAAATGTACCATCCAACCTTCTTTCAATACCTTAGACCCACGTTTTTTAGTATGTTTCACACTTTGTACTATTCGCATTAATGGAATGTTGTTACTTGGTGTAGAATTACAGCTTTTTTTAATAAAAGGAAACAATATTAGAAAAACAATAAAAATATAAATTTTAAATAATTAAAAATCAAATTGTATTACAGTAGAAACTTACCTCGACCGTCGTGATTTTTGATTTTCATCATAAGCAACGTCATCGTTACATCGTGCATGATCCTGAAAACACATAATGTCAATGTTAAAAAACTTTTTCTAAAAATTAAATAATCTTTATTTTTCATAACTCTATAATCATTCGTTGAAAAGAAAACAAAAAACTTACTGGATAATAATTAGGTATCTTATTTTCGTTATTTGTGAATGATGCATCTTGTATTGGATGTGATGATTCGGTATCACTGTCAGC